ATATCACATTTATTTTATAACATTGTCAATAAAATGGTAGTGTCGATTCAATACTGTAAAAAATAATAATTAATAAAGTGCGTATTTCTTATTTCCTACGAATAAAGAGCCTGCATTAGCAACACTTGTTAGCATAGACATCCACCTCATCCATTTTCGATACTACGACAGTATCTCCAAGTAGATGTGGTACACTTGCCAACTAAAAGGTTGCAATAGTATTTTTTCTATGGTTTCGGAATGCAGCCTACTCACCGAGCGATTGGTCTTTATCTACGGATCCATAAGTAAGAACCAATCGCTTAGTGAGTAGACGCTCACCGACGAGATACTATTAAAGACCGACATCCTTATGGAAGTTCGCGTCCTTGTGAATATTGAAGTAATCAAGAGTTAAAAACTGATTGTACTAATTTTATGATTTATTAGTTTAGTAAACGTATTTATGCATTTAGAACTCAATAATACTGGATTTTTTTTTAAATTGTAATTTCAGTGCTATCATCAAAGTTTGATCAACAGAGATGATAATTGCAGACAAAAAATTGTAATTTTTCTGCAATATATAGAATATTATAGCTTTACAAGTATGCATATTTATTTATGGAACATTTATATCTTAAAAAATTATGAATTTAATAATGTATGAACCAAATATTTATGTTAACAGAGAGAAACCTGATGTTAGTAATAGCAAATTTATCAATTGTCGATAATATCAGCATTCTTCAATTACCTCCCTTAGGGCCCTTTTTATACCGGAAATTTGCCCAGGGTTAACGATCTTTAATAGTATCTCAATCAATAGGCCCGGAAATAATTGAAGAACGATAACATTACCGACAATTAATAAAAATTTATTTATTAACATAAATATTTTGATAATACATTATTAAATTTGTGATTTTTTTATTATATATATATACTGTATAAATAAGTATGTATACTTTTAATGCTATAATATCTTATATATTGCCGAAAAATTACATTTTTTTCTCTCCAGTTATCATCTTCGATATTGATAATAAAACTCGGATGATAACATTAAAATCATAATTTTAAATAAAAATCGAGTATTATTAAGTTTTAAACATATGTACATGTCTACGAAATAAATCGTGAAATTAGTATCGTATTATTAGTTTCTTATTTTTTATCACTTAAATTTTAATAGGCACACGATTTTTATAAATGTTGACCATCTTTAATAGTATCTTGTCGGTAACTTAACCAAACATCTGTTTTGTATAGCTGCACTTTCTGAGAGAGAGAGAGAGCAGAGAACTGTTACACACAGTGCAGTAAGATACAAACGTATATTTATTTCACTTCAACTTATTGCCGATTCAAAGTGCAGCAATAAAAAAACAGACCAAGAAACACCATTTTGCGTTGTTTTATATTGATAGTAACCTCTAAGATAGCGACTGCACACATTAAGATATTTCTATTTTAATAAATCTATTATTTATTATGGCGACTATAACGAGATTAGCTAAAGTAAGTAACGACCCACAAGCAGAAAGGCATGTCAAAATGGCATTAAAATGAATCGAAAATGATTGAAAAATGATTTTTAATGATTACTTTGGAGTTATTTTGACATTTTGATATCATAATGACTTGTTGTTTCTGCTTGAGGATTAATTAAAATTTCTTTTTGATTGATATACATTTTGATTTTTTTTTAAATTGTAATTATAAAGCATATTGTGTTACTTTTATACATGTAATCTATTTTGCATTATAATTATATATCAAATAAAATAATTTGTTACTTATTAATCAAGTATGACTTGTATAATTTTAATACATGTTTTTCATAGTTTTAAAAAGATATAATTTTTTTAAGCTTAATTAAAGGTACACAGGAAATTTTCTTTAAATGATTTTTTTCAGATGAATTTTATGAGCAAGCGATTGTACAGTTCAAAGGTCAAATTAAATGATGTTGTGATAGTTAGTGCTGTGCGTACCCCAATGGGTTCATTTCTTGGCTCTCTGTCCAGCATGTCAGCTACTAAGCTTGGTGCGATAGCTATACAAGTAAGGATTTTATGTAGAAACATATAATTAATATTTATATTTAATCACATAACAATGTAAGTGATTAGTAATTAAATTTTTTCAGGCAGCTATTGAAAGAGCTGGTATTGCCAAAGAACAAGTTAAAGAGATATATATGGGCAATGTTTGTCAAGCTTTTTTGGGTCAAGCACCAACAAGACAGGCTGCATTATTTGCAGGTTTTGAAAATATATTCAATTTTTTTTACAGTTAATAGCCATATTTTACAAATTTTTGCAATAATAACAAAATTTGTTGACAAATCTGCATAGAAAAATGTCAAAATTTATTATGGCTACTTTCAATTTAGAAGACAATTGACACATGTTGTTTTAGACATCTAGTTAGTCATTGAATGCCGAGAAGAATAGAATAACGTTTGCGTTGACTGCATCTCCTAAAAGAAAAGTATTTTATAAAATATTAATGAAATTTTATATATTTGTTATTAGGTCTTCCAACATCAACAATATGTACAACAGTAAACAAAGTTTGTGCAAGTGGCATGAAAAGTGTCATGCTGGCTTCTCAGTCCCTACAATGTGGTCATCAAGAGATCGTTTTAGCCGGTGGTATGGAATCTATGTCTAATGTGCCATATTATTTATCACGTGGTGAGACGTCATATGGTGGAGTAAAACTTGAGGTTGATTAATCCCTGTATTTATTTTTCCTATTAGTTTCTATATATGTGTCATGTGTTACAAAACAAAAATGTCTATACATTTACATTTATACAAGTGATTAACTTAAAAAAATTTAACAGGATGGAATTGTGTTCGATGGATTGACTGATGTTTACAATAAATGTCACATGGGTAACTGTGCTGAAAACACGGCTAAAAAACTTAATATTACTCGTCAGCAACAAGATGAATATGCTATCAGCAGTTACAAACGCAGTGCAGCAGCTTATGATAATAATGTATTTAAGGATGAACTTGTATCTGTTAACGTGCCTCAAAAAAAGGGCAAACCGGATGTAAGTTTTACTGCAGATGAAGAATATAAAAGAGTCAACTTCGAGAAGTTTAGCAAATTGAACACAGTTTTTCAGGTAAAGTTGTACTCTACTAATTTGTATTTAAAGTTTTTGTTTAATATGTACTTTCTCTACATATGTATTCTTATTTGTATGTGCAGAAAGAGAATGGTACAGTGACAGCTGGAAACGCGTCCACTTTAAATGATGGTGCTGCTGCTTTAATCTTGATGACCAGTGATGTCGCTCAAAAACTGAATCTTAAGCCTTTGGCTAGGATTGTCGCTTTTCAGGATGCGGCAACGGATCCTATAGATTTTCCAATTGCACCGGCTTTTGCAGTGCCATCGGTGAGTTCTTTATTGGTACATAATTAGTTTTCTAGAGTAGGAAAATAACTAAAATTTTTATTTTTATGTCTTCAGCTGCTTCAAAATGCTGGGGTTAATAAGAATGATATAGCTCTGTGGGAAATCAATGAAGCATTTAGCGCGGTGGTTGTAGCAAATCAGAAATTACTCGATATTGATCCTGCCAAGGTAAATGTTCACGGTGGTGCTGTTTCACTTGGGCATCCCATAGGGTGAGTTATTTGAATACATTTTATTTATTTTCGTACACCTTAATGCATGTTATAAAATTAATATAAACCTTATAGCATGTCAGGAGCACGTATCATAGTACACTTGGCGCATGCACTTAAAGCTGGAGAAAAAGGCGTCGCATCAATTTGCAATGGGGGCGGCGGAGCGTCATCAATCCTGATTGAAAAATTGTAAGTTCAAAGATTATATGGATGACATTTCCATTTACACAAACTGGGCAATCTATTTTTAATATCGCGATAATATGAATTGTACATAAAACGGTTATTTTTATATTAAACTGTATGTTGTTAAAGTATTGTATCGTATAACTATTAAGTAGTTGTTAAAATATTGTAAATGAAAAGCTTCAGCTTTTCTTATTTGTATGAGATTATTGAAATTATTTTATAGAGAATTTTACACTTTTCTATAATATATGTACGTATAGAATGGCTTTTAAATACATGAAAAGTATTTAAAAAACATTTTTTACAATATATTTTTTTATTATACATTTTATTGTACTGCTCAAAACACATGTCTCGTTGCATTATATATTTTGTTGTATGAATATATAGAAATAAACTGTTTTACATCAATAACTTGATTCATTTTCTTGATTTATGTTGAATTGTAATGTGCAAAGGAGATCTCTCAAAAGTGGAAGCATGTTATATGATTTTTAGGTCTCATCCGATATCTTCTCCACCCAAATTAACATTATACACAAAGAGCCCGTGTCTGCTTTGCGACGTTTTAAAAAATGAACTGCGTTTACGTTTCGCCGATCGTTATCAATTGGAAGAAGTTGATATAGCTGCACAAGGAAACGAACAGTATTTCCAGTTGTATAAGTATGATATACCAGTCCTCTTTTTAGAAGGTCAGTATCTGTGCAAACATCGGTTAGACGCCGACTTGTTAGAAAGGAGACTTGATGAATTGGTTTCAAGGAAAGATAAATGTACACATTAATAAGATGTTAAAACTTGTACTATTGTTCAAATCAATTTTATTATATACGTCATATAATAAAATTTTATTTTGTATATATAATAAGATATACATATACGTAATAAATATATGTAAAATATGTAGAAAAAAAATTACATGTTTTAGTTTACACAGTGGATTGTATCATTTTGATAAAATTCGGAAAACTTTAAAAAATATTTTTATAATTTTTATATTTTGTACAATGATAATATCATTCAATAAAAAAATATACACAAACGAAGATAATCGTTTCTCATGCTTTTTTTTAGCACTGATGAATATAATTCTATTTACCAAATAATTCTATCAAGTTAATATTTTAGTGTATTTTGACATATTAGTAAATCACGTATCATATGTTTATTTTTATGATTAATATAAGATCTGTTGTATCAAAGTTACAGTTTACATAGGCTATTAAGAATCTATCAAATATTTTTTAACTATAATTGACAAAACAAATTCCTCAAATTTTTCAATGTTATGTAATTAAAGTAATTTTTATTTTGTAATATATAATATGTAATATATGATAGGTCCTTATTTAATTAAATAAAGGATTACAAATCTGTTTCTTTATCTTTTCTGAACAAATAATTTGTTTTTATTGAAAATCTTCTATGTTTCTTTTCTAAGATATCTGCTTTATTAATCTCATTTATATTTAATCCCGCGTGTAGGTTGTAAGTTTATGACTATGGTTGCACCTTAGTTGTAATAGGGTCCTGTGATTGTCCGCAAACGGCATGGCTGGACCCGAGGCTCGACCAATCTCGAGCTTCCATATCCACCTTCGCATCCGTTCTCTTTATTTCTCTCTCTCTCTCTCTCTCTCTCTCTCTCTCTCTCTCTCTCTCTCTCCACTCTTTCTCTTCGTAATGTTTCGTCTTCTCTCTCTATCTTGCTTTTATAACAAGCGAACCAAAAGGTAATGCGATGCGATGGTTTCCACAATTCTGTTGTCGACTGCTATTCAAAAATTAAATTATCGGATTATAGTTACTCAACAAGTTAAAATCTCGATAATCATTTCCTCTGTATCGAATCGAGCGATGTTCCAAATTATTTAAATACGGAATCGAAAAATCTGTATAATCCCAATAAATTCGAAATTCGAGATGCACATGAATACAAAATTTCAATATAATCTCTAACGCTGCGACGATAGAATCATACGTGATGTGACGATACCTACATTGTTACATTCTGTGCAAAAGAGAATAACGCGAACAATTTACATCGATGTGATTTATCTCTCTCCGCTTTTCTCTCGTTTCTACCTGTCAATCTTTCCTGTCTCTCACAGATATCAAACGCTCTTTTTCCGGCAGGTATCTTTATTTCGGAACGCGCATCGACTCTTGTATTAATTCAGTAAAACTAAATTAGTACTTATAAGTAATTATAAATAAATTGCAAAGCATTTCGCGAATTTATTTTGAATCCCAAAGAGTCTATCGTTCAGTCAACTAAAAATACATTTTGGTACATATCGATTCTAATAGTGAATTCGGTCGCATTACTCTGGATTAGTGCACATTAACACTTTAGCTACTGTTTCTTTTAAACTAATTTGATTTGAACAGAATAACTAATCCACTTTGTTAAACAAAACATTTATTTTAATTTAATAAATATACAGAAATGAACAAAACTATGTTTCTTTGTTAAAATAAATGTTTTTTGTGTTTGTCCAAAAATGGTACCCACAGTTTCTTATCAAAGTCAATCGTGTACTTTTTTCGGTACACATAACAGTTAAAATATTAAAAGAAGACTTCTCTATATGAAGTATCTAAATGCAATGGCATAATTAACTTTGCTAATTAAATAATACACACACTCACACACACACACATATTCTATTAAATAATAGAATATAACAATGTCATTATATTGGGCATTGAATCGTTCCAAATATTCGTATACTACGCTTTTACATTTAACTTTGCAAATTTCATTATTTCATGTATAGGAGTTTCTAAAATGCACTAATTATCTAATATAATACAAGTGATCGAATTTGCTATAATTAATACGATGCGCTTGGCATTGCGGATGTTCGCTTTACGACGTCCCTCACATTTTGTTTATGATTCTAATTAATACCTAATACACATTCTATCGATGATCGCATTCTTAAACATCGATCGATACTCCACAATAAGTGTCACGAGGGTCAATGATATCGTCGGAGCAACGGCTCTGTCTCTCGATTTTTGCGTCCGTCCCGGCTCGTTCTTACCTGTTTCTTTCGTTCCAACCCTCTTTCCTTTCCCCATTCCCCGTCCTCCACCTTCAGATCACTTGCATTTCTCTCTCTCTCTCTCTCTCTCCCTCTCGTGCGCGCGCGGGCACTCTCGTTCTCCCTTTCTCTACGATAGACCGGACCCTCGATCTCTCTTTCTCTCTTTATTTCTCCCCTTCCGCCACCTCGCGCGTGCGTGCGTGTGGGTGCGTGGATCGGCAGTTGAATTGGTGAACGAACGAACGCGGACTTGCAGTCCGTTGCTCGCAGTCGGCAGCTCGTTCTTCCTCAGTGCGTGCCTTACGCGGGCACCGTGAAGTACTCGTCTTAAAACCCATAGAGTTGTTACGTGGCACGCGCTCGTTTTGCGACAGAAGGAAAGAAAAAAAAAAAAAAGAACGAGAGAAAATCGACAGGTACAAAGGGAGGAAGAAAGAGGTTGAATTAGAGGGGGAGGGGGAGGAACGAAGGGGAAAGGGACGACGAGGGAGAAAAACTTGGAGGACGAAAAGAGGGAGAGAGAAAGAGAGGGGAGGGGAGGGGAGGAACAAGTCGAGAAGGAGAGTAAATAAGTGAGAGAAAGGGTACGGAGCAAAGAAAGAGAGGGAGAGAAAAAAAACGAAAGGGGAGAGAGAGAGAGAGAGAGAGAGAGAGAGAGAGAGAGAGAGAGAGAGAGAGAGACAGACGAGCGGATCGTCTCTCCAAGCGAATCGCGAAGGGGCGAGTATCTCTCGCGCGCGTCTCGCGAGTGCATCGCGTTTGGATTTTCGCGTCTCGCGTCGCATTTGAATAACAGCGAAAAAAGTATAAAGAGAAAACGGAAAAAAACACAAAGAAAAAGGAACTGTCCTCGATCGAATCCACGGGAAATCGTTTACTCTGAAGTTTCCTAACTAAAGGTGTCTCTGAGAAACTGTTACCAATTGCGGTGGATCCGGAGTGAAGTAATTCTCTATTATATATTATCGATTTCGTTATCGATTGGCAGCCCTTCGTCCTTTCAATTCGCGTTACCGTGATTGCCGAATGTTCCGGCCGAGGCGAGGGCGCACAATAAAATTCATCGCGTCCGTCGATCGCGAGGCTCGCCGGTTGGTTGTGAGTCACCCTCGTCCGACCCGGTTTTGTTATCGAGGTGAACGTGGCAAATGCGAATCGAAGCGAGAAAGGTCTCCTGCCGGAGATCGAGCGCGCGAATCGATCGATCGCGTCTCCGTTGACGCGTCGTGCGCCTGCGAATCGCGTTATTTTTTTTAAATTACGATCACTGAATGATAAGCGCGATCACGTTAGCCAGCACAGATCTCTCGGGAGCTTTCAGCTTTGCGCCGGGAAAGAATTCTGAACCGAAACGGGATTTTGAGCGAGAGATGTAGAGAAGAAAGGAGCGAAAGAAAAATCTTTCTGAATTTCAGAGAGAAGAATCTGATAGAATCTCTTATTTCGACGAGAGAAGTTCGAGCGAACAGGATTTCTCGAGAGTAATTTCACTTGAGAGAGAAAAAGAGGAAGGGAGAGAGAGGAAGCACTTAGTATTCCAGGGGCTGTCCTCTAAGAGCGAACAACTTGAAATAAAAGTGATATAAAGAACAAAGAAAATTTACAACACAATTAACAAAAATTAATTACAAAGCAGAAAGGAAACAATATATGTGTAAACTCGAAGAATTTAGCGAAAATCAAATCAAATCAAATAAAAATAAAATAGAAAATATGAGATAAGTACAGGTGACGAGAATTGAAGTACTTGTATTACAAGTTGCATACCTAAGTTTTACCTCGCCTTTGT